CTGCAGCGGCAGCGCCGGCTGCGGAAGAGGCCCCGGCTCCTGCCGCTGCTGCTCCTGCTCCCGCTGCTGCAGCGTCGCGAGTGTCTCCGGTTACAAGGAAGACGACGAGCGTAACTGCGAAGAAAACGACCACTAAGTCGTCCGGCCTCGGCGTTAAGAAGCTCACGACGAAGGTCAGTATGCGGGGGTTAGCACGGATGGGTCGGTGTGTATATATATACTTGGCTGTGGAATGTCACGAGCCATGGCGGTAGCAAACAAGGTAGAGTCACTGACAGAAGATAGGCATGATCGAAAGTGCAATACTAACGCGTCTGTGTTTGGAATGCGAATTTCAGTACGAAGATCAACTACAAGTGAATTACCGAGTGCCACGGCCAACCCATGGCGTTCCTTTTGCATAACCACACACCCATTGCCTCACTGTTTCTCAATCATTCCTCCCTCCCATCGTCCCCGCATCTCCAGCCGAACGACAGCCTGTACGAGCAGAAGCCAGTGGAGGCGCCGGTGAAGGTGGGCGTGGTGGAGCACAAGGCGTCGCGCTTCACGTACAACGAGGCGTCCTCCTCCTCGCAGCCCGGCGCCGGGTCGGGCAGAGGCGGCCACGTAGCGGCGCCCGCGGCATCTGGAGACTTCTTTAACGACTTCTCGGGAGGGATCAGGGCTGTTCCCAGCAACCGGCCCAAGCCCCCACCTCAGGTACAGGCCCATGCCTCCGGTTTGGGTAGACTCTGCTGCTTTTTTAAGCTGTTTGGCTCAGTCATCTGCTGTTGGCATGTGATGTTTTTGGGCTGGGGTGCGTTCGAGCTGCCGGTGCTGCTTGCAACGGGTGACGCCCTGTTTCACGTGGCCTGGTAACGAATCGTCTAGTCTGTTTCACCCCAGGTATTCGCCGTCTTCAGGACGCGCTCGTTTTCGTTTTTGGCGGCATTGATCGCTTGGACCAATCCACATGTTTCCCATCCTCTCTTTGCGGGTTGCAGCCAATCGAGGAGTCAGACGAGGCTCGCAGGAAGTTCGCAGGGGCGAAGGCGATCTCGTCGCAGCAGTTCTTTGACCGGGATAACAAGGAGCTGCAGGCGCAGAACCAAGAGCGGCTGCAGAAATTCCAGGTGAGCCGCAGGAACATGGATAAATACATTTTTAGGAAGTGAGGAAAGAAATGAGAGTAAGAATCAGGAGAAGCAGCAGTTTTCCCACTGAGACAGCAAAGAGGTGCAGGCGCAGAATCAACGGAGGGTGCTGAAATTGGAGGTGGGCTGAAGGAACATGGTTTAACGGCATTTTTACGACACGCAGAAAGAACGAGGGTGTGAGAACGGGGGGACAACAAGGATTTGCGAGAGAGAATTAAGTGCGGCTGCAGATGCTATAGGTGGCTGCAAACAAGACGAGTTTAGAATGGCGTGTGTCTGCAAGGAAAGGGATCAGGCCCAGGACCGGGTTAGGAGACTGGAATGAGCTTTTATGATGGCTTATTGGTTCAGAGAATGGGATTGGGTGAGGAGCAGGTGTGGAGAGGGCCGTTGTTTTTATTACAGCAACATGGTGGTTGGTGGTTAAAACGGAGCAGTTTACAGTGATGCGACATTTGCATGAGGTGGTGCTGCTAGGTGGCCGCTGATGGCCGAACGGGCACTGCCAAAATCCGTTTCGTGGGAAACACAGGGCAGCTGTTGTAGAGATATTTGGAAGGCGCTGGGATGTGGAAGGCGCTGTTACAATCTGATTTTGAGGAAGGAGGTCTGGTAGGTGTGGTACTGGAATTAGGTGGTTGAGTACGGTAAGGGGAAAGACACGAAACTTTCGTTTCCCACTCCCTCCCCTCGAGTTCGCCTCCTTGTGACACCCATCTCCTCACCATGCCACCCATGTCTTCTCGCGCATAACCATGCCACCAGAACTCGTCGGCCATTTCGAGTGCAGCCTTTTTTCGATCGGGACGAGGGCCGCAACCACGGCGGTTCGGACGATTTCTGAGTCGACTAAAAAATCGACGCTCGTCTTCTCACCATGCCATCCCTTCTCACCATGCCATCCCTTCTCACCATGCCATCCCTTCTCACCATGCCATCCCTTCTCTCCCGTGCCCGTGCCACCAGAACTCGTCGGCCATTTCGAGTGCAGCCTTCTTCGATCGGGATGAGGGTGGCAATCAGGGTGGCGGGGACGGCTCTCTGGACAGCGTTGCTGCGGATCTAATGGGAGGGCTCTCCATGGGGGTGGGTGTTGCATGATCATCCATTTTCCCTTTCGCATGTGTGATTATGTGGTCCAGAATGTAATGTTTGCTTTCTTGAGGAGTATTGCTGCGGTGCGGACCTACTGGGAGGGCTCTCCGTGGGGGTGGGTGCTGCATGATGAGCCGTTTTCCATGTTCCTGTGTGAGAGTGTACCATTGTCTAGAATGTGCTGTGTGATTTCTGCGGATCTACTGGGAGGGCTTTCCGGTGGGGTGAGTGTTGCATGATAAACCTTGTTCCATGCGTGTGTACCATATAATCCACCGTTCAAATGTGCTGTATGCGTTTGTAAGGAGCATCTTTACAAGCCTGACTGGGAGGGCTCTCTGTGGGGTGGGTGTTGCATGAGAAGCCTTTCATCATCATGCGTGTCTTCTGTGAACCAGAATGTGTTGTATGCTTTTCTGGTCAGCATCACTTCATCTCACTGGGTTTTCCATGCACAAGTGGACGACTGACAGCCAGGGCTTTTGTTTGTCAGGTTCATCCCTCCGTTTCATCCCTTCCCTCCTGCTTTTCCAACCTTGCTCGACACTTCATTTCTTGTTCCACATTGGCTCCTCCCATAAGCTAACCAAGTCACTTTCTTCTTTGGGTGCAAGCTGTGACAGGGCAGACTGATCCGGCTCTCCCATTATGTGCATCACACATCTTGTCTTGAGCCCTTAGAGACGTCTTACAAGTTTAAGACATCTCAAAAGGAAGGGCGGACTGAACAGGCTCTCTCTTCATGCGTGTCAAGCATTTTGTCTTGAGCCGCCTCTGAGCTGCCTCTGCACCTGGAGCTGCCTTTGAGCCACTTGCCCACGAGCCGCCTCTGTGCCACCCACGAGCCGCCTCTGTGCCACCCACGAGCCGCTTAGAAGTGCATTTCCTTACACAGCAAACCCTTGCATACTGCCCCCCTGTGCTTCCCACATTGCAGGCTGTGGCAGAGCAGACAGGGCAGGCGCTGTCATCATTTGCCTCCAGCATCCTCGCTGACTTGCAGGACCGGATTCGATAGACCGGTAGAAGCGCGGGGAATAGCGTAGGCGATACCGGCATGTGAGGGGGGTGTTGTGGATTTGTAGTACCAGGCACTGCTGATTTCAGACTCGTCATGGTAACTCAGGTAACGCAAGAAGTGTGCATGCGTGCATGTGCGTAGGTTCATCTGCTCACAGCGGCACAGTGCGCCATACTTGTATCGCTCATTCGCATGGACCAACACTGAACCACTCATTACGCAGCAGAAGCAGAAGCAGGGAGCAGAGTGGTAGATTGTGCAACAGGGTTTTGCAGCATTCTTGGATAGCTTTGTACCTAAACCAAATAATTTGAACCAGTGTTAGTGATCTAGAGTCATGTTGATGCTCTGCAAACTACAGATGCAGCACCATGTTTTGGCAGAGACCCCTAGAGGACACTACACTAGCCTCTCCACTAGAGGACACTACACTAGAGGCGGGGATGTGAGAGGCTTCCAATCAGCGTGCTGTGAGTGGTGATCCATGAACCAAGGAAAGAAGAAGATATAGGGCAGGGAGGGAGAGGGTTAGGGCCACATGGAGAGGGTTAGAGCCACAGGGTTTAGGGTTTTGGGAGAAGTAGGAGACATATGCAGAGCGAACAGGGGGAGGGATGGATGGAAAGGTCAAAGGATGACTAGGAGGATGGAAGGTAAAAATTGTCTGTTTTGAAACAGGGATACAAATGCTAGAGAATGTAAAAAAATTGCCGATTATTGACTGGGCTTACCGTAAGTTACGGAGGGAGGTCGATTGGATTAGGGCAGATCTGACGATTTTGGGGCGGCAGCAGCAGCGGCTGCAGTGGCATTAGCAGCAGCAGCAGTGGCAATAGCTGCAGCAGCAGCAGCCATTGTAGCAGCATCAACCAATGCTGGCCCGGCACCAGAGGCAGCAGGGGCAGCAGGAGCAGCAGCAGCAGCAGCAGCTAGGGTGGAGGGAGCAGTAGTTACAGCAGCAGCGGTGGCAGTGGCGGCGGCAGCAGCAGCCGCAACAGCAGCAGCATCAGCCAATGTCACTTCAGGGCTGACAGGCTCGGCAGCAGGAGCAGCAGATGGAGTGGCAGGAGCAGGAGGAGTTACTGAGGGAGCAGGAGCACTAGTGGCAGCAGTTGAAGCAGCAGCAGTGGCAGCAGCAGCAGTGGCTGTGGCGGCGGCAGCAGCAGCAAGGGTAGCATCATCAGTTGCAGGAGCAGCAGCAGGAGCAGCGGGTGCAGTGGCAGCAGCAGGAGCAGCAGCAGGGGCAGCAGCAGCAGCAGAGACAGCTGCAGCAGTGGTGGCGGCAGCAGCAGCTGCAGCAGCGGCTGACGAGACAGGTGCTGCTGGGGATGGTGAGGATGGGGGCTTGAGACCCTCATACTGTGTGTATGGGGAAAGAGGAGACTGAGGGACAGGAAGAGTCATGGCTTCTGATACAGCAGCAGCTACTGCAGCAGTGGCAGCAGCAGCAACAGATGTAGCACCAGCAGCAGCAGCTGTAGCCGCAGCCCCTGCTGCTGCTGCAGCCGGATCGACAGACACGGCAGGCGCCGAAGCTACAGGAGCAGGCACGACAGCAGGCTCGGCAGCAGGCACAGGAGCAGGCTCGGCAGCAGGCTCAGCAACAGGCACGGTGGCAGGCTCGGCAACAGTTGTTGATGCTACGGCAGTTGGAGGCGAGGGGGTTGGTGAGGTTGGGGGCTTCAGGTCCGGGTACTGTTGGGAAGGGGGGTACACACAGGGGAGCGGAAGTCCTCGGGGGAAGGTTAGGAGTGGAGGAGAGAGGGGATGATGGTTGAGCAAGGGAAGGGAGGAGTGAGGGCAGGGATGAGTGAGGGCAGGGATGAGTGAGGGCAGGGATGAGTGAGGGCAGGGATGAGTGAGGGCAGGGATGAGTGAGGGCAGGGAGGAGTGGCGGCAGGAGGAGGGAGGGAGGATAGTAGGGTTGAGATAGCAGCCACTGCAACATGTCTCTATCTGTGTGTGCATGTGGGTATGAGCTCACCTGGCTGTAGGGCGAGAGGGGCCTGTCGGCATAGGGCAGATCTGAGACAGGTGCAACCGGTGCAGGTGCAACTGGTGCAGGTGCAACTGGTGCTGCCACTGCTGGCGCTGCTGGTGGTTCTGCTACTGCTGCAGCAGCAGCAGGTGGCTCAGCAGCCGGTACGGCAGCAGGCTTGGCAGGAGGCTCGGCATCAGTGGCAGCATTGGAGGTGGGGGGGGAAGGGCATGGAGAGGTGGGAGGCTTAAGGTCCGGATACTGCAAAGGTGGGGAGATTCAGGGGGCGAAGGAGAGGGGAGAGGAGACAGATGGGGAGGGAGGAGGAAAAGGAGACAGTTTGAAGTTGGGTCAAAAGTCAAGGAGAAATGGGAAAGGATGAGGCTTGAGGTGGGGCGGGGTGGGGGGCTTAAGGTTCGGATACTGCAAGGATGGGAAAAGGGATGATTATATAGGCGCCTAAAAAAACCTTACCAGGGCGTAAGGGGAGAGAGGGCGATTGGCATATGGCAAGTCGGATACTGCTGACTCAGACTCCGCCTTTGCTGACTCAGCCTTGGTTGCAGTAGGTGCGGCAGCCACAGGAGGAGCAGGGGCAGCAACAGAGGCAGCAGCAGGGGCAGCAGGGGGGGCAGCAGGGGCAGCAGGGGGGGCAGCAGGGGGAGCAGCAGGAGCGGCAACAGCAGGGGAAGCAGTGGTAGCAGCAGGAGTGGCAGCAGCAGGGGCGGAAGGGGCAGCAGCAGGAGCAGCAGCAGCAGCAGCAGCGGGTGAGGGAGAGGGAATGGGTGAAGGGACTGGCGCTGCTGGTGCCGGCTTGGCAGGGGCAGCAGGAGAAGCAGCAGGGGCAGCTGCAGCAGCAGCAGGAGCGGCAGCAGGAGCAACAGGAGCAGGAGCAGCAGTCGTGGCTGCTGCAGTGGCAGTGGTGGGCGCAGGACTCGTTTCCTTAGGCGGGCTCAGCACAGCAGTGCTACTCGTTGCTGCAGTGGCTTCGTCGGGAGGCGCAAGGGCAGGCAGGTCGGCACCAGTAGGAAGGTACTTGCGCAGCTGTGCCAGTGTCTGCTCCCTGTCCTGTGGTGGGGAAGAGAGGTGAGGAGGGGTGGGGAGAGATGGGGAGATGTGGATAGAGGTGAGAGGAGAGAGGGCAGGCAGGTCGGCACCAGTTGGCAGGTACTTGCGCAGCTGTGCCAGTGTCTGCTCCGTGTCCTGTGGGTTGAGGAGAGGTTAGGAGGGATGGGGAGAGGTAGGAAGAGTAGAGTTGGTAAGAGCAGAGCCTGCTGGCAGGTACTAGCACGAGGAGCAGGGGGGTGAGAAAGTTAGTGGGAGTGGGAGTGGGAGTGGGAGTGGGAGTGGGAGTGGGAGTGGCCGTGCGAGTGGGTGGGAGTGGGATTGGCGCATCACCCCAACCCACCTACATTGGGAAAGAGCACTGCAGTGAACGTGAGCTGTACCAAAGCCACCAAAGCACCTACCAGAGCCACCAAAGCCACCAGGTGAATTACCGCTAGGAGGGAGGGTGTGAACGCCCGCTTTTGTGTGCACCGTGCAGTGCACTGTGCAGATGGCATTGGCTCATCCTTAGCATTGGCTCATCCTTAGCATTGGCTCATCCTTAGCATTGGCTCATCCTTAGCATTGGCTCATCCTTAGCATTGGCTCATCCTTAGCATTGGCTCATCCTTAGCATTGGCTCATCCTTAGCATTGGCTCATCCTTAGCATTGGCTCATCCTTAGCATTGGCTCATCCTTAGCATTGGCTCATTCTTAGCATTGGCTCATCCTTAGCATTGGCTCATTCTTAGCATTGGCTCATCCTTAGCATTGGCTCATCCTTAGCATTGGCTCATCCTTAGCATTGGCTCATCCTTAGCATTGGCTCATCCTTAGCATTGGCTCATCCTTAGCATTGGCTCATCCTTAGCATTGGCTCATCCTTAGCATTGGCTCATCCTTAGCATTGGCTCATCCTTAGCATTGGCTCATCCTTAGCATTGGCTCATCCTTAGCATTGGCTCATCCTTAGCATTGGCTCATCCTTAGCATTGGCTCATCCTTAGCATTGGCTCATCCTTAGCATTGGCTCATCCTTAGCATTGGCTCATCCTTAGCATTGGCTCATCCTTAGCATTGGCTCATCCTTAGCATTGGCTCATCCTTAGCATTGGCTCATCCTTAGCATTGGCTCATCCTTAGCATTGGCTCATCCTTAGCATTGGCTCATCCTTAGCATTGGCTCATCCTTAGCATTGGCTCATCCTTAGCATTGGCTCATCCTTAGCATTGGCTCATCCTTAGCATTGGCTCATCCTTAGCATTGGCTCATTCCTTAGCATTGGCTCATCCTTAGCATTGGCTCATTCTTAGCATTGGCTCATCCTTAGCATTGGCTCATCTTAGCATTGGCTCATTCCTTAGCATTGGCTCATCCTTAGCATTGGCTCATCCTTAGCATTGGCTCATCCTTAGCATTGGCTCATTCTTAGCATTGGCTCATCCTTAGCATTGGCTCATCCTTAGCATTGGCTCATCCTTAGCATTGGCTCATCCTTAGCATTGGCTCATCCTTAGCATTGGCTCATCTTAGCATTGGCTCATCCTTAGCATTGGCTCATCCTTAGCATTGGCTCATCCGTTAGCATTGGCTCATCCTTAGCATTGGCTCATCCTTAGCATTGGCTCATCCTTAGCATTGGCTCATCCTTAGCATTGGCTCAGCATTGGCTCATCCTTAGCATTGGCTCATCCTTAGCATTGGCTCATCCTTAGCATTGGCTCATCCTTAGCATTGGCTCATCCTTAGCATTGGCTCATCCTTAGCATTGGCTCATCCTTAGCATTGGCTCATCCTTAGCATTGGCTCATCCTTAGCATTGGCTCATCCTTAGCATTGGCTCATCCTTAGCATTGGCTCATCCTTAGCATTGGCTCATTCTTAGCATTGGCTCATCTTAGCATTGGCTCATCCTTAGCATTGGCTCATCCTTAGCATTGGCTCATTCTTAGCATTGGCTCATTCTTAGCATTGGCTCATCCTTAGCATTGGCTCATTCTTAGCATTGGCTCATCCTTAGCATTGGCTCATCCTTAGCATTGGCTCATCCTTAGCATTGGCTCATTCTTAGCATTGGCTCATTCTTAGCATTGGCTCATCCTTAGCATTGGCTCATCCTTAGCATTGGCTCATCCTTAGCATTGGCTCATCCTTAGCATTGGCTCATCCTTAGCATTGCTCATCCTTAGCATTGGCTCATCCTAGCATTGGCTCATCCTTAGCATTGGCTCATCCTTAGCATTGGCTCATCCTTAGCATTGGCTCATCTTAGCATTGGCTCATTCTTAGCATTGGCTCATCCTTAGCATTGGCTCATTCTTAGCATTGGCTCATCCTTAGCATTGGCTCATTCTTAGCATTGGCTCATCCTTAGCATGGCTCATCCTTAGCATTGGCTCATCCTTAGCATTGGCTCATCCTTAGCATTGGCTCATCCTTAGCATTGGCTCATCCTTAGCATTGGCTCATCCTTAGCATTGGCTCATCCTTAGCATTGGCTCATCCTTAGCATTGGCTCATCCTTAGCATTGGCTCATCCTTAGCATTGGCTCATTCTTGATAGCATTGGCTCATTCCTTAGCATTGGCTCATTCTTAGCATAGTGGCTCATCCTTAGCATTGGCTCATCCTTAGCATTGGCTCATCCTTAGCATTGGCTCATCCTTAGCATTGGCTTCATCCTTAGCATTGGCTCATCCTTAGCATTGGCTCATCTTAGCATTGGCTCATCCTTAGCATTGGCTCATCCTTAGCATTGGCTCATCCTTAGCATTGGCTCATCCTTAGCATTGGCTCATTCTTAGCATTGGCTCATTCTTAGCATTGGCTCATCCTTAGCATTGGCTCATCCTTAGCATTGGCTCATCCTTAGCATTGGCTCATCCTTAGCATTGGCTCATCCTTAGCATTGGCTCATCCTTAGCATTGGCTCATCCTTAGCATTGGCTCATCCTTAGCATTGGCTCATCCTTAGCATTGGCTCATCCTTAGCATTGGCTCATCCTTAGCATTGGCTCATCCTTAGCATTGGCTCATCCTTAGCATTGGCTCATCCTTAGCATTGGCTCATTCCTTAGCATTGGCTCATCCTTAGCATTGGCTCATTCTTAGCATTGGCTCATCCTTAGCATTGGCTCATCCTTAGCATTGGCTCATCCTTAGCATTGGCTCATCCTTAGCATTGGCTCATCCTTAGCATTGGCTCATTCTTAGCATTGGCTCATCCTTAGCATTGGCTCATTCTTAGCATTGGCTCATCCTTAGCATTGGCTCATCCTTAGCATTGGCTCATCCTTAGCATTGGCTCATCCTTAGCATTGGCTCATCCTTAGCATTGGCTCATCCTTAGCATTGGCTCATCCTTAGCATTGGCTCATCCTTAGCATTGGCTCATCCTTAGCATTGGCTCATCCTTAGCATTGGCTCATCCTTAGCATTGGCTCATCCTTAGCATTGGCTCATCCTTAGCATTGGCTCATCCTTAGCATTGGCTCATCCTTAGCATTGGCTCATCCTTAGCATTGGCTCATCCTTAGCATTGGCTCATTCTTAGCATTGGCTCATCCTTAGCATTGGCTCATTCTTAGCATTGGCTCATCCTTAGCATTGGCTCATTCTTAGCATTGGCTCATTCTTAGCATTGGCTCATCCTTAGCATTGGCTCATCCTTAGCATTGGCTCATCCTTAGCATTGGCCTCCTTATCATTGGCTCATCCTTAGCATTGGCTCATCCTTAGCATTGGCTCATTCTTAGCATTGGCTCATCCTTAGCATTGGCTCATTCTTAGCATTGGCTCATCCTTAGCATTGGCTCATCCTTAGCATTGGCTCATCCTTAGCATTGGCTCATTCTTAGCATTGGCTCATTCTTAGCATTGGCTCATCCTTAGCATTGGCTCATCCTTAGCATTGGCTCATCCTTAGCATTGGCTCATCCTTAGCATTGGCTCATCCTTAGTATTGGCTCATCCTTAGCATTGGCTCATCCTTAGCATTGGCTCATCCTTAGCATTGGCTCATCCTTAGCATTGGCTCATCCGTAGCATTGGCTCATCCTTAGCATTGGCTCCATCCTTAGCATTGGCTCATTCTTAGCATTGGCTCATCCTTAGCATTGGCTCATTCCTTAGCATTGGCTCATCCTTAGCATTGGCTATTCTTAAGCATGGCTCATTCCTTAGCATTGGCTCATCCTTAGCATTGGCTCATCCTTAGCATTGGCTCATCCTTAGCATTGTGCTCATTCTTAGCATTGGCTCATCCTTAGCATTGGCTCATTCTTAGCATTGGCTCATCCTTAGCATTGGCTCATCCTTAGCATTGGCTCATCCTTAGCATTGGCTCATCCTTAGCATTGGCTCATCCTTAGCATTGGGCTCATCCTTAGCATTGGGCTCATCCTTAGAGCATTGGCTCATCCTTAGCATTGGCTCATCCTTAGCATTGGCTCATCCTTAGCATTGGCTCATCCTAGCATTGGCTCATCCTTAGCATTGGCTCATTCTTAGCATTGGCTCATTCTTAGCATTGGCTCATTCTTAGCAGTGGCTCATCCTTAGCATTGGCTCATCCTTAGCATTGGCTCATCCTTAGCATGGCATTAGGCTCATCCTTAGCATTGGCTCATCCTTAGCATTGGCTCTCCTAGCATTGGCTCATCCTTAGCATTGGCTCATTCCTTAGCATTGGCTCATCCTTAGCATTGGCTCATCTTAGCATTGGCTCATCCTTAGCATTGGCTCATCCTTAGCATTGGCTCATCCTTAGCATTGGCTCATCCTTAGCATTGGCTCATCCTTAGCATTGGCTCATCCTTAGCATTGGCTCATCCTTAGCATTGGCTCATCCTTAGCATTGGCTCATCCTTAGCATTGGCTCATCCTTAGCATTGGCTCATCCTTAGCATTGGCTCATCCTTAGCATTGGCTCATCCTTAGCATTGGCTCATCCTTAGCATTGGCTCATCCTTAGCATTGGCTCATCCTTAGCATTGGCTCATCTTAGCATTGGCTCATCCTTAGCATTGGCTCATTCTTAGCATTGGCTCATCCTTAGCATTGGCTCATTCTTAGCATTGGCTCATCCTTAGCATTGGCTCATTCTTAGCATTGGCTCATCCTTAGCATTGGCTCATCCTTAGCATTGGCTCATCCTTAGCATTGGCTCATTCCTTAGCATTGGCTCATCTCTTAGCATTGGCTCATCCTTAGCATTGGCTCATCCTTAGCATTGGCTCATCCTTAGCATTGGCTCATCCTTAGCATTGGCTCATCCTTAGCATTGGCTCATCCTTAGCATTGGCTCATCCTTAGCATTGGCTCATCCTTCGCATTGGCTCATCCTAGCTGGCTCATCCTTAGCATTGGCTCATCCTTAGCATTGGCTCATTCTTAGCATTGGCTCATTCTTAGCATTGGCTCATCCTTAGCATTGGCTCATTCTTAGCATTGGCTCATCCTTAGCATTGGCTCATCCTTAGCATTGGCTCATCCTTAGCATTGGCTCATCCTTAGCA